TTTTTTTTAGTGTGTGAATAATCTGAATATGTCATTCACTCACTCTTGCATCCTTCAGCTCCGTAGTTCCAGAATCCAGGAGCGCACTGTCGGCACTGCGGCCCGTTGACTCCGGGCTGACAGGCGCACTGACCGTTCTGAGGGTCGCACGGCTGCACCAGAGCCGCCGAGGCCTCGCAGTCGCAGTGACGACAGCCAGAGCACGAGTCGAAGCCAAACGAGCCGTCCTGAGAAAAACGATCATGATTCAACAGTTTGTTTTAAAGGTCTGAATTCTTCAAGAAGAAAATTAAAAATCCTCAAGACTGACGGAGCTGGAACGAATCGTGCTTCAGAAAAAATAATGAGAGTAAACTTTTTCCTTACAGCTTCTATAACAGACATTTTCATGAATGAGTCACTTTTCTCCTTTTATATATTTTTGAATTATCTCTATTCGCTGTGAGTGTTTCTTTATTTCTTTTAGAGTCCACGGTGAATAAAATGTGACGGAGCAAAAAGAAAAGAGAGATTCGACCTCTTCATTAACAACAGACACATTTCATTCTGGGATATTTGTGTTTTTGTGTTTTCTGATTCTCTTGAGCAGTAAAACTGTGAATATCCAGGAGAGTAAATCGTGCAGCTCTCACCTCGCAGCGGTCGCAGCGCGGCCCCGTGACTCCTGGTTTACAGCGACACTGTCCAGTGCGAGGGTCGCATGAGTCTGTGCCACACGGAGAACAGCTGCATTCTGGGACACATAAAGAAAGTGCGGAGATTTTAAACATCAGACTGTAACGAAATGAGGGAACGTCCTGATTGGACGTTTCTGATGAACTCACCGGTGCAGTTTTTGGCAGAGATGGCGTCGCCATAGTGACCGGGTGCACAGACGTCGCAGAGCGGTCCGGCCGTGTTGTGCATGCAGCTCAGACACTCTCCGGTCAGCGGGTGACAGTCGGTGAACAGCATGTTGGGGTCCGTGTTGCCGTGGCAATGACACGGCTGGCACCGACTGCCCAGCACCATGGGGTTGCCGTAGAAACCAGGGGCGCATCTGAGTGAGGAGGTCAAATTACGAAGCGAAAGATGTTTGTGAAAAATTCAAAGTTTTATAAAAAGGATAAAACTGTGCTGACGAGGTCTTTTACCTTTCACAGTTTGGTCCTGCGTAACCCGGCTCACACAGACACTGCATCCTGTCGCCCTTCTGCACACAGCCCTTCGCAAAACTACACACACACACACACACACACACACACA